CAAAATGCTGTGAAGGTAACCTTCACAGTGTTTTTGCTGTGAAGGTTCGACTTTTTTAAACATTCACAGTGTTTTTGCTGTGAATATTCGACTTTTTTAAACCTTCACAGTGTTTTTGCTGTGAAGATTCGACTTTTTTAAACCTTCACAGTGTTTTTGCTGTGAAGATTCGACTTTTTAAAACCTTCACACTGTTTTGGATGTGAAGTTTCAAGTGTAAAAATGTGGTCTCACGGGCCTCACGAAAACAGGTTGGTCTCACGTGAACCCAACCCATATATATATATATATATATATATATATATATATATATAGGTCCATATAAAAGAGAACTGACTAGTTCGTGGTAACTGTGAGATCCAATCTCAACCACAAATCAATAGATAGATTAGGAATTTATATTTTGTTAATTTTGAATTAAAATTTTAATGCATGGATATTTTAGGTATTTTTTTTCTTCTCTTTCCGTTTTCCGGTAATACCATTGTGATACCTAAAAATATCGACTCTGTTAAACAAAAGACACAGTGTGATACCCAAGCACATATAAGATGCATTGTGATACCACTGTGTTACATCTCTGATCGACCACATAAACGACCTCAGTGTGATACCCAAGTACATATAAGATGCATTGTGATACCACTGTGGTATCACCGAAGGACGGTGGCCGGATGACGGGGGACGGAGAGAGAAGAGATGAGAGAAAATACCTAAAATGTCATTCCATTAAAATTTTAATTGAAAATTACTAAAATTATAAGTTTCCTAATTTATCTATTATTGATTTATAGTTAAGATTGGATCTCACAGTTACCACAAACTAATTAATTCTCATTTGATTAGTCCCCTATATATATATATATATATATATACTAGAAGTATACTCGCGCAATGCAGCGAGATACATCATGATTTTAATATTTTATTTTATTATTTATCTCAGTCGATATTATAATATGACTTTATGTGATTTTGAGATAACGATTATTTTTTTTATTTTTGACTAAAATATATGTTTGACGTTATCATAAAAATTTGACAAAAATATATCGATATTAGTATCAAATTAACTATTTGAAATTCCTCATTTTTTTGTGTAATTTTTTAATTCAATTTTTTTTAATTTAATTTATGTATAATAACGAAATAA